GGCAGGGATTCGGGCATACTTAGAGTAAGTATATTTTGCCCGACCCCGCCTGGCTCTCGCACGTCTTGATGGCGATCCGCCAAACGGCGCGAGGTCGTGCTGGAAGGGCGGGGCTGCGCTTGAGCGGCCGAGGCGTCGTCCCGCGATGCCGCTTGGCGTGCAATGGGCGCTGCATGTGTTGCACACGTGCCCGAAGTTGCACCCGCTGAATCGCCGCCGGTGCCGAGCAGTGGCACGGCGCGTGGAGGGTCGAAATCGCCATTTTGGCCTGAAGTTGAAGTCGAAACGGGGGCAAAAGTGTAAACCCCTGCCCCCTCGTCGTCGCTGATTGGCCGAAAGTCGGACCAATCGGGGGCCGCCAGATCGGCCTCGTCAAAGGCGCTATAGAAAGACGCGTCGCTGCCGAGACTTGATTGGCTGGCCGTGGAGGCCTCGCTGTCCGAGGACAGGGCCCGGTCTCTGATTGGCCAGAAGAGTCGCATGGCGCACTCTGATTGGTCAAAAAGAAAAAAGCCCGACAACCGAAGACCGAAGACGAAGGCGAATTAGAAAAGTGTAGAGAAGATCGGTGTAGTTGCCTCGCGGGGGAAAGGTGAACGCCCCCGGAGACCGCTCGTCCGCCGCTAGCAAGCTAGCCGCAGACGATTGCCCAAAAATGCGAGTGAAAAAGTCCGCCAAAGGCGAAAACCAGTTTTCACACTGATTAGAACAGAATATGTGTTCGTATTTACCAGTTAGTAACCTCTCCGTAACTGAAATCTAGGCTAAAATATGTATGTCACTAAGTGGAGGGTGTTTGTGTCTTCCTGGGTTTTTTAAGGGCGGTTCCCTACCTGGGTAGTGCCCTGTCGGTCATGATGACCAGCTTATCGCCGTGCCGGTGCCTGCGATGTGCGCCGCGGGGCCCCCCCAGACCCACGCGACGCTCGCGAGGCAGTGCCGCTTCGTTGCCGATCGCGGTGCTGTCGGCAGTGCCAGCCCCAGATGCGGTGGCTGGCGCGAATGCAGTGGCTAGACAGCTGGAGATCCAGCTGCCTAGCCTCGCGCTTGTGAAGCTTGAACTTCTCAGTGTAGGCCTTGAAGTTGCTGGGCTGCACCGAGCCCAGCGTGCCGTACACTATGGCAGCAGTCTGCACTCGCCATCCCTTGTGCTGCAGCTCCGCCACGATTGGTTGGTACTTGAGAGTCTTGTGGTCGTGGCTGAGCTGCAGCGAGGAGTGACGAGCGCGAGCCGCTTGGTCTTCGAACGTGACCGCCAAGTCGGCGATCACCATCGTCTTGGCGGCCACGTTCCTAAGCACAATGTCTGGGCGTAGAGCTGCGCCTGTGTACTCGGGTACAGTCTGGTTCAGGCGCAGCTCTGTGGGAGACTTGGCGCGGTCGAGCGCTCCGCGAATCTTGGACCCAATCTGCTCCAGGTCGTCGTCATGACGCTGGCGAATGGCGTCCATGTTGGACTCGCAGTGGTTGAGTACATGTGCCAGCGTCTCAGCCGAGGAGCAGGTTGGGTCCTGCAGTCGTGTGTGCCCGCAGTCGTATGCGCTTGAGCACCGAGTTCGTGTTCGACTTGGTTGAGGCTGCACTTCACCCCGAAGCGGGTAGTCGTCGTTCGACAGGTCCGCTCAGGTCATCGAGAACTTGGAGCCCAACCCAACGTGGCACGCGCACCGTCTTGCCCTGGTCCACCATGCCCTTCCATCGGGTCTGGTGTCGGATCTTCAGGTGTAGCTTCACGTGCCGCAGCACAGTCTTGTGCGTAAGCCACTTGTTGTGGTGCGGCACGCGGAAGCTGAGCGGGCCATGGGCCTCTGTCTCGTCGCAGTGCTCGAACCGCAGGTGGTAGATGCGCAGCCACCGCTGCACGTCGGACCACAGCGAGGCAATGTCACCGTTGCGACGGAGGACCTCAGCGTGTGGCGAGGCGGCGAGCTCGGAGTTCAGGAAGCTGCGCACGAGCTCGTCATCGCGCCCGCGCCAATGGTCTTCTTGCAGGCGGTAGCGCTTGCGCACCACCTGGCAAGCCTGCGCTCTTGCCACTGCTTGGATGGCTGGGTCCTTGGAATGCAGCATCTGCCACGCGTGGGCGAGCTGTAGCGCGCGGCGCAGCTCCACGAGCGGCTGCAGGCCCAGGCCTCCCGCTGGACGTCGGGCGGTACAAACCTCGCTGGTGGTCTGGACCGAGGCAGGGCTCAGCAGGTGTCGCTAATTCCGGTGAGGACGACACTGGCCGAAGCCTTGGCAGTTTGGGACTGAAGGGTAGGCAAGGTGGGAGCGGCCTGGTATTCCATTCGGGCGTAAAGACTAAAACTTAGTACGGGACCTCAACCAGCCCACGATAGCCATGGCCAACGTAGGGAGGGCACACGCTCACATACCATTTAACTGTTGAAGCCATCTCGTTAGAGCTCTGCCGAC